TCATCCATTCATGGGAACTTGAGTTACTTTTTTTTTTTTTGAGACAGGCTGCCACTATGCAGTTCAGGCTGACTTAGAACTCACTTTGTAGCCCAGGCTAGCCTCAAACTCACAGTGATCCTCTTACCTCAGCCTTCTAAGTGCTAGGATTACAGGCATGCGACACCATTCCTGGCTTCCATTTATCTTTTGACTACTATATCACGAATATTGGTTGAGTTCTTTGGAGAGAAAAAAAAGAAATGTGAATAATCCACTTGGTGTGGTCCTTATTTTCCTTGTGAAATCCTTTACTACTCGTATTTTCTTTAGGACACTCAACTAAATCATTCTAACTTTTCCTATAATTTTTTCTGTGTTGCTCCCCATACTCATACCCACTAAACAGTCTGCAAAATAGGTTCACAATTCATAGGGCAAGTTATAATGGTTTACATTATTTAGGTTGGAATTAATTCTTCTAAGAACCTACCTCTCCCCTACCCAGTTGAATGCTTCCCTCACCCCCTAATGCTGTCTTTAGGAAAATCTCATGTGTCTTCTCATAGCATAATCACATAATCTTTTGGGGGGGGGAATGTACCGGAGATCGAACTCACAACCATGCATTTGTAAGGCAGGTGCTTATGCCGCTGAGCTAAATCCCCAGCTGAATCTTAGCATACATCTTTGTGCTCACATGACCTGTCTGGTATTTCCTCAAACTTTCTTATTACTGAAATAAATCTTTTCTGCCCTTCTCAGGTCCACATTCTTATACAGATTAGAATCACAGCATAACATTATTCAGGCAAGGAAAGACAATTTCCAAATCCTCTTGGACACTTAAACTGTGTCCCAATTTACATGTGCATTTTGTTTTATGTGAAAGACAAGAGCTTGTTTATGAACTTTATTATTTATCTGTTTGTTCATTTAAGTTTTGAGACAGGGTCTCTCTGTATAGTTCAGGCTGACCTTGAGTTCACTATGTATCCTCGGCTGGGCTCAAACTTGTCAGTGATTCTCCTGCCTCAGCCTCCCCATTGCTGGGATTGCAGGCACATGTCAAAGCACCTGACTTCTTTTGAACTTTAAAATTCAACCTGCAATAAGAGAATGAAATAAAAAATGAAAAAGATGTTGAAATTTATGCTGTTATTCCTTTTATGAAGTAACTATTCTTTACATTTAAACTTTTTCTGGGATTTACTTACACGATTGCTCCTTCTTCTCTGCAAAAAGGAGCTTGCAGACAGCGTGTAGCTAAGCCTGACTTCTTTCCCCACTGTGGATAGTCAGTACTGTTTCTCCCATTTGTTGCTGTTTTATCTTCGAAGTCCTATTTTGTATTATTTTTCGCCCTACTCTGTTGGGATATTTGGAACCCATCTAGGGGTCTGATTAACGCTCTTCCATTCCCACCATAATCTTTAACTTCAGTCTTCTTGAAAGGCTTTTGTAGGTCTTCACTCACCTACCAGAAACAAGACAGTCAGGAGATCCTAGGTGAAGTCTTCTATCTCTAGTTTAGATTTTGGCCAAAATTAAAAATAAAATAGTTAAAAGTCAGGGATTATAGGAAAGGAGACAGAAATGCTGAATGTTGTCTTTTAATCAACAAGCACTCTTTCTTATCACTTCCGTGTGTTTGATGTTTGTTTTCAAAGCCTGAAACTTCTCCACGTGGTTGATAAATGTGTTTCATTGGGAATCTCCAACCATCTCTAGGTTAATCTTGTATAAAGGTAACCTAAGCTTCCAGAATGTTTCGTATGGGCCAACTCTCAGTTCTACAAAAGGAGTTATATGGGAGAATTAGCCTTGTGTAAGTTGTAAAGGATCATATACACCTCCTCCTGGACTCCCTAAGTGGTGCTCCTTCATACCCAGGCCTTCAAGCGTGTGTAGTGGGTGGGTAATAAGCGATGTCAACAGTTATTTTGAAAAAGAAAGTATAAATATCTCTTAAATTTTTAAAAAGTAACATATCAAATATGTATTCCTCCACCTTCAACTAAAAAATGATAGATAACTTGATCACAATCTCTGTCAAAGGAAGTTAAAATAGAAGAAAACCTGAGAGAATATTAGTTATAGACTTTCATAAAAGTTGAGGAGTTTGTCCAGCTATAATACAAATTGAAATGAGAAAATTTATAATACACTGATACGTCTATGATTGACATTAAAATAAACCAGTGAAGGTAAGGATTTAGCTCAGTGGCGTAACTGCCAGCCTGAGAAGCACAACATTGCAAGTTCAATCCCCAGTACCAAAATAATAATAATAATAATCAGTTACTATGATGGGAAATAGAAATGAAGGAATTTATAAATAAGTTTGACCACAAGTTTTTAAATTTTGAAGTTGACTCTATTCATTTTATGATATTCTTTACTTTTATACTTCTACAGTGTATAGGTAGAAAATAGTGTAAATAGGATGAAATTATAAGCCATCTAATGGCTTATAATTATAATGAAATTATAAGCATCTAATGACAAAACACCAAATAATGTAAAATCTGTACTTTTATTACAAATGTAAGATATAAATTAATTATAATTAATTATAAAGTTATCAGAACAACTAACAATATAAGAATTAAAAATAAGCATACCTTTACATAACGCCAAATTCAAAAGATAAAACTATCACATGTAAATACTAAGTATTGACAAAATTTTGATGATGACAATAGTACAAATTAGAACTTAATGAAATTTGAACAAATCTGTCCTTTGAGGGAAAATAATTCCAAAATTTCTCTATTACTTACAAATAAAAAGAAATGAAGTAAATACTTAATTCAGTAAATTTGAAGAAAATAAAACATAATTTAAAAAATAGGTAAAGGGAGGCATTAAAAATGCTAAACTGCAGATCAGCAGATTACAAATGTAAGGTAACCAACAAGCCAGAAAATGTAGAATTGTTATTAAGGATGTAATTGTACTTATTCATGGAATAATTTTTAGAAAAATATTACTTTCCAGAGTTCACTTAGACAAGGCAGAGGACACCAACAGATCAACACTTGTGCTGTACAATAAAGAGAAAATATTTTTAATAATGTACTTTCCTCCCTACCCTCATTTTAAAATGTCAAGACTAAATGGCTTTGTATGTCATTTCCATCAAACTTTAAAGGAAAAGAAAATTTTTGTTACTTAAAATTCTCCAGAATATAGAAAAATATGAGATGTCTTAACCCATGTTATTTGTGAAAGAACCATTTTCTAACAAATAATTAAAGTGTTGAACAGAAGAAAAGTGCAGGAAAATCTCATTAATGAATGGATGGAAACTCTTAAACAAAACAATGACAAGTCAACTAGGGTTGTATCAAAAGAACATTGCATCTTGAAATGGGACTTTCTTCAGGAATAAAAGTAAATCCAATACAAGGATATTTATAAGTTTGATTCTTCTTGTCACTATATCTAAGGACAATATGTATTTAATCACAGCAATAAGTTTTAAAAATTTATGTAAGCTAACAGTGATTGGATCAACATCTAATTATTATAAAAACAGAATTAGCAAAGCAATGCTTTAATACTGAAATGGATATATACATGCATTTATTTTTCAAATAAAGGGTGCATTAAATGGCATATAGTTAAAATGGAGGAAATTGATTGATTTGATTTCCCTCACTTACACTTTTGATTGTTTAGAAATCTATCAATTCTCAGCTGGAAAATGTCTTTGAACCAGCCAGCAATATCTGCTTTCTCCAAACTCCAGTGGAATTTTAGTTTTTAATATGACCATGTGATTCTACTATTCATCAGGAAGCACAAACAGACAAAAAACAATCAAGAACCTGAATAGAGAACGAGAGTTTACTTTGGCATAAATAAAAATGTATTACAATAAGCTAATAGCTTGCAATTGAGTCTATGTTGACATGGATCGAGATGTTTAGACTATGATGATTTTAGCATTTCAAATCATTAGATAACATGAGTTATTTAATAAGTCTTGTTTGTCACAAACAACATTCCTCAGGGATTAAGATGACAATACAGTAGTCTACTCCCCCACAACTTGTTAAGGAATATGTGACATATTTCCACCAGACACCTGAATCTAAGGATAATACTGAATTGTGTACATTATGTACATGCTTTTTTTTCCTTGTATGCCTTGAAGCTTTGCCGTCTCGTCAGAATTAGTAGATACCTTGCTGCCTCTACTATTAAATAGCATTGGAGCTTTACTTGAACACAGGCAAAGTGATACTGTGGCAGGAGACCTAATAACCAAGTTAGTTCCCAAGTGCTTAACAGGTGAGTTGCATATACAGGGTGAAAACATTGGACCAAAGAACGATTCAGAATGTAGGCGGGATGCAGTAGACCGGAGCAGAATTCCATCATCAAAATGGTACCTGATTTAAAACTTACAAGTCATTTCTGGAATTTTCTATTTGTAGATCATGGTTGGAAGCAGGTGACTGAAACAGGAGAGTGAAACCATGGATGAGAAGGACAATTGTACATTATATGCTAAATGTAATTATGTATACAAAATCCATCCTCAAGCGGTTATTGAATTCTTTTCGTTAGAATAGGACAAGATGTAAACAAAGACCCTAGATATTTAATGCCATACCGTGCGTGCCAGTGTGAATGTATTTATGATAATATTCTGAGTCACTGAAAGGATTTGATAAAGTTGGCTTCCTACAGCTTAGTAGATGACTGATAATAAAAATAAATTTACATATTTATTTTGTGCATGGTACATCAATCAACCATGACAGTCCCCATGAAAAAGGCACCATCCCTGTTCTATGCAGGACGAGTCTGCAGTGTGGAGTGGCGATTTCGACTTTGGGGAACCAGGAGAGCTGGAAATGCAACCAGAAATCTGGCTCCAGGGCGTGCATCTGGCTGCTCCAGAGCGCGCATCAGGCTGCCTGTCCTTGGCACTGGAAGCCAGCTCTCTAGGGCCACCAGGGGTAACCCCTCTTTCTTCAGGTTCTCATCTGCCCTTCCTCTTTCCTCAGGGACCTGATGCCCAGGACGCTGGAGGGTCAGATCACCATGGAGAAGACGCCCAGCTACTTCGTCACGCGCGAGGCGCCCGCGCGCATCTCGGCCATGTCCAAGGACACCAAGCTCATCGTGGTGGTGCGGGACCCGGTGACCAGGGCCATCTCGGACTACACGCAGACGCTGTCCAAGCGGCCGGACATCCCCACCTTCGAGAGCCTGACGTTCAGAAACAGGAGCGCGGGCCTGATCGACACGTCGTGGAGCGCCATCCAGATCGGCATCTACGCCAAGCACCTGGAGCACTGGCTGCGCCACTTCCCCGCGCGCCAGATGCTCTTCGTGAGCGGAGAGCGGCTCATCCGCGACCCGGCCGGCGAGCTGGGCCGCGTGCAGGACTTCCTGGGCCTCAAGCGCATCATCACGGACAAGCACTTCTACTTCAACAAGACCAAGGGCTTCCCCTGCCTCAAGAAGGCGGAGGGCAGCAGCAAACCCCACTGCCTGGGCAAAACCAAGGGCAGGACCCACCCCGAGATCGACCCCGAGGTGGTGCAGAGACTGCGCGAATTCTACCGGCCCTTCAACCTCAAGTTCTACCAGATGACCGGGCACGACTTTGGCTGGGATGGATGACAAAATGTAATTTAAAAAGAAAAAAAAAAAAAAATTATCCAAATATAATATATTTTTTTACCACTCGGTAGAGAAAAGGCAGTTTAATATTTGTGATGAAAATACTCGTTTTAGTATTTTTCCAATGAATGTTCCTGCCTCCAACCCCATCTTGATGGATAACTGAGCCCGAACATTTGGGTAAACACGAAAGGAAAACTTATCTCGTTTAAATAATTTCAATTTTCAGTTTTATTTTGTGTTCTATAGACGCAGGCGTGAAGGAGAAGCATCAATGGTCATTAAAGTTTTTAAGAAAATTCTGACGTTAAGCATTTCTTTAAAAAAAAAAAAAAGACCCTGGTAAAGTTGATTTCTGTCCTTAATATTTCTCTCCTTTTTTCCTGTGCCATTTTTCATAAATCATTTCCTAACTTGGCAATAATGCTGTATGTGTGGATCCCTTTTCACAGCTTTTGTATTTCACTCAAATATGGTTTTCGATTCTTACACTATACGTGGTGCAAAAGTATGCTGTTATACATAGAGATGTTATCCCCATTTTACAGATAAGGAAAACAGACTCAGGGAGATTAAATGACTCATAGGTGATAGATCCTGACAAAACCTCATCTTGCACTTGTGTCCATGTCTCTTTTTTGGGGGTACGATGAAAAATAAAAATAATTGCACCTTCATTAGCTGGTTTCAAGATGATCCAAAATGGGATAGAGGATTTCTTAAATTGTTTCCTGAGTTCCAGACTTGACTTGTGGCATCCGGTTTCATTGCAAAATTGTCTAAGGAAGCCACTAAGATCTGGATCAAACCTCTTGGGTGATTAACATACCCAGAGATATGGAGATTGGATTGAATCATTGGATTCTTGTATCCAGGGCAAGATGGACAGCGGTAACCCGGCAGGAGTGGTGATAGATGAGATGGGAGGGTTACTTAAGAGTCCCTGGATTTGGCTGCTTTATTTTTTTTTTAAAGAAAAATTCATTTGCATTGGATTTTATCAGCACGAAACCCATTTTTCTTCACATTATTTTGAAGAAAATCTACTTTCCTTTGTAACAGCTCAGGTCTAATCTTGTCGCTAGTTCTAAAATAGCTACCAATTGACGGCTCATTGCAATGCCTTTGCTGATTCATGGGTGGAGGATTGTCACTTTGTCACTTTATTTTTCCAATTTCCTAGTCACACCATGTATTATTACGTGGAAAATGTTCAAAGAAATGCAGTTGTGAGTAAAGTAGCTACTTTTTCTTTTCTCTAGTCTGTTCCCGCCCATTCCCCCAGTGAAATCAAGTAAATAAATCAGTAGTTTATTATGAGTACTCCTTTGCATTCTGGGACAATATTAACAAGATTAGCATTAATGGGAGTTAAATTGCTTTAGAGGGGAGCACATATGCACAAAATACATAAAATGTTTATAATTAGTCTGTGAGCAACATTTTATTACAGGTTTAGACCCAAGGGCAAAATGGCTCTTTTGGTTGGGAAAGTGTTCTTATCTGCCAAAATTTAAAGGACCAGACACCCTACTATACTAAATATTCTATTTGTTCTCCAATGGTATCAATAAAAAGAAACTAAAATCATTTTAAAATATACATTATAATGATACCTTGATCGTAATCACCATACTAGGGGTGTAAATATGTCTCAAGAAATCTAGCACAGGATTAAAGTGGGGAAAAGTATCCTCTAATTTTTAAGATATTTTTTAGACATATTTTCAAAACTTTCTGTTTGTTACTATCCCATTCATGGAAATTAAGTTAAACCCAAAGCTGGGTCATCTTTTTCTGGTTGATCTCTGTCACTTTTGTGCCCTCAATTTTCCAGGCCACAGTCTGTTTTTGTTCTACTTGAATTGTTACTACCGACGACATGAGATTCATTTTAACCCTTCTCATCTTTTCTCCTAACTCATGTTGTTTCTGTTTCTGAGTCTTTTGTAAGCATTCGTCTGCTTGGCATTATGCAAAATTGGCTTGCACAAAGAAACAATTACATCTAATAATTACGCTCAGTAACCTTAGCTTTTTTGTGTGTGTGGAAGAAATAAAGAACCAAATTAAGTGCCAAGAGTCTCTTATTGCACATAGGTGTTTTTGTTAGTCTTATTTTAAAAACTGAATGGTTACAGAACCTCCAGGAAAACCTTTATCATTCTAAGATCTCCTAAGAGTGTTTGAAGTTAAGATCCCAGCACAAAGTATAAAGTAATAGTCACTATTCTCTAAATTTTGCCCAGGACAGGAATATTTGGTTTCTGTCTGCACTGTGATATTCACTTATGCAGTGCATGCAGTTGAATTCACATTTATTTGCCTTTTTAACTAAAACAAATAGTAGACTTTGACCAGCTGAGCCTTTGCGCCTCAGCTGTCTTCTCCAAAGCCATGCCTACCAAGCCCTCCTTGGTTCTTACACGTAGAAAAAGGACTTTGTAAGAGAATATTCAGAAATGACTGACAGCCTCGTGCTGAGCAGTTTCTTTCCAGGACCACAGCCATAGTACATACGTTCTCCAGATAAATTTAATCACTTTTAAGGCAAATTAATTTTACCCTAATGACTACGTATTAGTAAGATTCTCAATACTTAGTATCCTAGGAGTCATCCCACCCTAATTTTCTTCTTTTCATAGAGGATCTTCAAATGTAGAAGAAACCTCCATGGTATTTTGGATCAAATCTCCAGCCGACGTACAAAACTCAGGTTTTAAAATGTCAATGAAAAGCAAAGCAGATGTGTCTGTATATTCTCAACTCTTGGTTTTGCAGTTGGAAATGGGAGATAGTTTTCCTGTAGGGATCCTGTAGAACCTTCATTGTGCTCTGCCAGTAGAGACTTACCAAATCTCTGTCACCTATGAAAACATCATAAGTGCAATGTGTCAATAAATAGCTATATATCTCAAATAATCAGTATTCACATAACATACTACTCTTTCATATGCATCTACACAAACCAATAGCAGCTGATAACTCTCATTAATGACATTTTGCTGATGTGGAAACTGATGTTTAAGATTGTGTATCTTAAAAAAGATTTTGGATCCCAGAGCAATGCTTGGGGATATTCTTTTTGTTGATTCAAGTACTGAGAGTGGAATGGCACTGGTATCTCATGGGTAGTGGTTAAGGATGCCTAGGATGTGCATACAAATATCTATGCATCAGAAATATCTCCACCAAAATGTCATTCATGCTAAAATTACTGGTTTAACAGGAAGTATATCGTTGTATCAATCACACAGCTAAGAGTGTGTGTGATCTAAAAGCCAGATTATGAGTAACACTTGACTAGAAAAATTTTTCAACCTCCATTCTAGTTTTTCTCTTGGAAATCATATTAAAGAGATCAACACTTAATGTTGTGCTTTGCCGTATGACAGGCTAAAAAAAACTGAACTAGATTTTTATAATGGGTAGGCAGGAGCAGCTTGTGAAAAAGGACAACTACATTCTGGGAAATAGGCTCAGTCATCCTCAGGTGGAAAAATAACAAACTAATAAAACATCTCTAATGTTTCACTCAAGTTCAAGTCTTATGCTTACTTTTTTCCTCTAAGACAATGCTGTGAGAATATTTTTTGTCACTTGACAAAGTCTGTGAAGTAATAAAGCAAATCAAATTCTTATTACCACATATCCTAGAAACCTACAATTTTGTGCATAATTTCTGTAGCTTCAGAAAAGACAAGAGGTTATGGCTCCCGAATATATGGAGTTTGTTTCTGAAATTCTGTTCAATGCAAACCTCAGTGCAGAAATAAAATTGGCTCCTACAATTGTTGAAGAAGAAAGAAAATCCCAAACCCCAAGCCCTGTTAGAAAATCATTACTGTAATTTGTAATTTGTGGCCCATCAGAAATATCATCAGATGCAAATAGATTTCCATTCAAAATCCCAACTTCATAGGAGAAGAATTTGAATATAGCGTTAATAAACCTGTGTGGTACAAAATGGAATGTTGGAAAGGCAGAACTTCCCTTTAAGACTTGAAAAAGGATGAACTTGAGAGATTATGAGGCAATGCAACATTATACACAAAGCAGTAAGATAAAACGGAGTTTAGTTATGCCAGAAGGAAATAAAACTGAAAACAGAAATTGCTTCTAATATATGGACCCATTGTGGGCTATTAGGAAGTATTAGTATGTTTCGGAATATAACTTGAATTTTTTTCTATTTCCAACTGTCTGTGGCGTTCTTTTAATAGTTATACTCTCATCAAATTATTCTCTTGTTTTGCTGTCAAAATAAATGGCCATAAGAAATGGGAAGCCCACATTCTTTTGTGAGTTCTTTTCACCCCCGAATGTCTGGGTATGGTATTGGAAGGGTCAAATATGGTAATTCATGCTCTTTACCTCTGTTGGATGGTGTATTGAGTCTAGATTTCTAACATGGTGCTGACTTTGGCTATTCCTAAGGTATTAATATTGGAAAAATATAGCCCACACACTGCAGGTTCTCTCAGATTTACTTCTCAGTAAACCTAGGTTGTTTAGCACCCCTGAGGTCCTACCTCCATTGCAGATGCTGTGATGCACTATTTTGCCTCCCATTTCCTCTCTCCATATTTGCCTTAATTTCTCATTCCATTCAACTCATGTCCATTGATACTTCATATTCAAGCATCTTCTGACCTATGTACTTCCCTCTCTCTAAATGCACCACGCCCAGTGATATTCACTTCCTGCACAAATTCCCAGGTAAAAAACCCCACAGTCCACCTTGGGTAGGTGCTCTCAGCCTCAGCTCTAGCAAAGCAGGCTGGGTAACTGATTTCAGTACCTATGGAGACAAACGTCAAGTAGATGTATGTTTCTTTGTTAGGTAAAATGTCCCAAAGGAAGATGGACAAGTCAAGATGTAAAAATAGGAGGCCCATTTCAGGCAGAAGATGAGGATGCTACCAGAAAGGAACTTACCTGGTTTCCAGTGGCAGTCTTTGTACCAGTGACCTCAGGGGCCAGGGCCAAAGCTTGGCATTCTGCTTTCAAGAAGTCGCCTCTGGTCTAGGCAGTGGCATTGTTCACCCACCTGTTTTCTCAGAAAGCCTTATCGAAGCTCAGATTTCTTTATTTCAAGCCCACAACAGCTGGCCAAGCAGAGAACAGTAGGAAGAAAAGAAACTTTATAGTCATTGGACTGCAATTTCTCAGAAGGAGCAAGGATCTTGATTAAGTACCATCAACTGACACTTTTACAGTCAAATCTAATTCTTGTTTCAGATTGTTTGATCTTACTCTTAAATATTATTCTCAAATCAGTTGTTCTGTTATAAAAAGCCCAACTAAATATTTTATAGTAGTAATACCTGATTTTTACATAAAATGATTAAAAATATATTTATATCCTACTTCAGAGTTGAAATTTTTTTTCATTTTATCTTTTTGCTAGATGATCTAGTATATCTCATTTCTGTTTCCAAAAAGCCACACATATGTCCTCTAGCTGAATTACTTTCTGAAATCTTTCCTGCACCTTTTTTTGCTTGCATTCCATTTTTCTTCTGAATGCACTTATCTTTTAGTATTTTCCTATATCAAAACCTTTTACCAAAAGTATCTTACTTTTTTTTTTTTTGCATTCTCCATTTCTTTTGAACAAGATCTTTAATGGTCACTTTTCTCTTCTTGTAACCATCTGGGTCCAACATTACACCTTATTTTTGCATCTTGAACTACTTGGCCTTTATACTACTTTTTTTCATCTTATCTTTACTCAGATTGTGTCTTTCCATTTTAGGAAAAGTTCTCTTTAGAGAAAATCCCTTTCCCAGTAGACTTCAACCACATGGAATCTGAAACTTTCTTGTAAATGTAGCTTTCTTATCCCCGCCACACTGAAATGAAGAAGTATCGAAGAGCTGGCTTCCAACCACACAGATGATGCAGTAAAACTATCCGACTCTTCTTACACCTCGGCATACATAATCAACTCTTTTCCAGACTTGCAGGACCCTGCTATGTGATGAGACCATTAATAAAAAAAAAAAGTTTAGTATCAATGGAATGATACATGAATATACACAAAAATTGAAAGCAGATCTGTTTTGACCAGCTTTGCCCTTTCTATTTCAGATTATAAATCTTCCACACAGTAACAGTGCCTGTGGTCTCTTTTGTTTCTTATTCCTTCCATGTTCGTCCTGAGAGATCTCACTAATTTAGTCTCTGATTCTCTATTTCCATTTATTCCCATTTCCTTAATTATTTAATTGATGCTTATTCCAATGTCTCCGGGCCAACCTTCATCACTTTTACTATTGACATACGCTGTGACTTTGTTCTAAGTACTTACAGTTGTACTAATCTGCCTGTCCATTATTGAAGTGAATGGACCAACTTTCATTTTTTTTCACTTACCTTTTGAGTCCAGGATTATAGCTATACTTGTGAACACCAGCAGGCAAGCCCAGCCTGGGAACCAGCAGCAAGTGTGTGTTGCCACCAGATTGGAACAGCCAAACTCCAACCCCTTCCAGTGCATGAGCTGGCACTCAAGAACTACCAACCTTCCCCCCACAAGTACCCCCCACTGTAAGTGACTGGTTTATCTGGAGAAACACAGGCTGTGATGATAGCTATGGAGGTGAAATGCAATTGGATGCCCGTGGTTCTTTTGCAGGTTCAAGGGCCAGTGGTCTGATCACAGGTTCAGAGGATAGTGGTATGCAGTGTGACATCTAGGGGGGATCTCCTTCTGAGGTTTGCAGCCATTGTCGATTTCCTATGGTCTTGTTTTGGAAATTCTACATTGTTTTGTTGGGTTGCGTTTTATTCTCTTTTGCTTTGTTTGGTTATTCAAATTTGATGGCAGCAGAAAGTATTTCAATGATAGCAAGATATTGTATGGTGGCAATTTTGGATTTGCTATTGGCTTGTCTTAAAGTCTTTATTGCATTCATTTTTTAAAAATCTCTCCCTTCTATTCTGTTCTGTTTGATTTTTACTGTCTAAGTTATCTGCAGCTATTTTGAAGTTATCAAATAGCATTATGGTAACTATTGTTGATTTCATAATGTTTTGAAGTCCTGTGTCTCTTACACTGGTTTGTTTTGATTGGTTTTATCCTTTGTAAAATAAAAAATACATACACTTGTGAGTAATAAGATTATATATTTATTAGCTCACATGGCAGTTCGTATGTGTATCTACTTTGAAAGAAGAAACCATGGCTTATCTACCATTTTTATCTACCTCCTTTTGTTTAATGATGTTCTATAGATTAACAAGCATTTCCTGTGCTCTGATGTTGAAATCCCATGGTGTACATAATCCTGGGGGAATAGTTCTGATTTAGTCACAAATAGTAAAGTCTTGCCTCAAAAGCTCAATACCACTTTTTCATTAAAAATACCATTTTTTTTCATTTATTAAGAAATAGCAAGATCAACTGTACTACCCGCACTTTTCAACTGTGACAAGTCTTGGAAGTATTTATAAGTGGGACTGTCAGAAATCACTATTTTTCTTCTGTCTCCTTAAAATGATTATCATTAAGTCACTGTATTTCTCCTAGCCTACAGGAAACTGTGACCAGAGTTTGCTTTCTTTAATAATGATGCTTGCTAGCTGGTCATCAAACCTTTGCTCTCTCTGTGAGGTGATCACATTGGCAGTGTTGGAGGAGTGAGTTCTAACCTCAAATTCTTTTCTTCTTCCTACTTTCCCTGAAGTCCTGATGTAATCTCCCTTCCTGAAATCTAAGGCCATATCTCCCGGATTCTGAAATGGTTCTGTTTTTTTAAATTATGCCCTTAATAACAGTTGCTAAGTTGAGACTATCTTACTCCATTTATTTTAGACCTTTAATTTACAGACCACCCCCCACCTTGAACAGTAAACTACAGCTATAAAGAATCTCATTCATTCTTATGTTAACCATTAGTTACAGGGTCGCTTTGATCTGGTCCAGACAGACCATGTTTTTCCCTTTGACATATGCTATTTTCTGTGAGTGTTTATGGTCTGGTTTATCTACCTCCTGCTCTATTCCCTGCTTTCATAAAAGAAAGAGGAAGGGATCCTGCCTTCTGTGCCAGTTCTAATGAGGGCTCACCATTTATAGCCACCAGGAAATGGGAGCGGTGCTTTTCACTTCTTGATCAACCATAAAATGCATTCTGAGTCTAGGGTTTACCTGAAGGGTATCACTGAGCTACAGAGGAGATGGTATATAACTCCTCATTTTCTCCTCCCCAGCCCCTGGAAATGATCATTCTATTTCATCTTTCTATGAGTTTGATTATTCTAGGTACCACATACCAGCAGATTTATAGTTTCATGTAATATTTGTCCTCTTGTAACTATCTTATTTTATTTAGCATGATTTTTTTTTCTCCCTAAGGTTTATCTATAGTATGCTACATCTCTCTCTCTAGATATATTTATCTATATATCTATATGGATAATATAGGTATTTAGGTTATATGTGTATATATAATATATAGATATGTATGGATATGTAGATAGATATAGAGAGAGATACAGGTAGATATGTGTGTATATATGTGCGTATATGTGGATGTATAGATGTAGATATCTATATATATATATATATATATATATATTTATATCTATACCTATACATGTTTTATTATACATCGCATCAGTGAACATGAGTCATTTTCTTTTTTTTTTTTACTTTATTTATTAATATTAAGAAGAAAAGGTAAGGCAAATTTTCACAACAAAATAATGAAAAAGTAACAATTGTTAATAAATCACACATTATCTTTAGTCACTCAAGTACAAAATATGGGCATAAAAATTACTTCAATCAATATTAGCACAACCTTTCCTATTCAGTGAACTAAGTGACACTAATGGTATAACTAACTTGCACTTTTTTTTCCCTTCTATCCTTTCTCTTTTCTCCTGTCTTAGTTTCTTCTTTTTATTAAACAGTTTCCTTCCATTTCACAGTGACTATTGTATATTTTGAACCTTATGGTTTCACATATGTCACTGTAGTGTGATGTTTTTCAATCATTCTGGGAAGATACACAGAAGGGGAATACCTGGGTTGACCTCTAATCCTAAGTTTTTGAGGAATCTCCACACTGATTTCCACAGTGTTCATATTAATCTACTCTCTAACCAACAGTTGTAAAGAGTTTCTTTTTCCCTATAGAACCAGGAGCATTTTTTATTGGTTGATATATTTTTTTAAAAAATTAAATGATTTTTTAATGAATAAGAGAGAGCATGAGATAAAAGGGGGCATAACAACATAACAATACAGGTTAAAGCATAACACTTTGAATCATTTTCACTTTTTGGTGAAATATTGGTGATTAACATGAGTGCACACTTAACTGCTGATTCTCTATTTTCAATTCTTCTGCTCCACTTCAAGGGGTGGGACTTGCTAAATTATATTGTAATTCTATCTTCAACTTTTTGAAGACCCGCCAAATTATTTTCCACAGCAGCCATGACATTTTGTTTTCCCCCCAGCAATACAAAAGAACTGCAAGTTTTTTGCATCATGATCAACATTTCCTATTTTATGGTGTTTTCAATTCTGTAATAGCTGTCCTAGTGGATTGTGGATGGGAAGAATCCTTTTTCTCCGTTCATAGTTCTTAACTCAAAGGTTTTGTTCCTGCCATCTCCTTTTCTTCTTTAACGCCCTTTGAATAACTTTCTTCTCATTCTCCTTGTCCTTTGTTATCCTCGTGTTTTTTGTTGTCCTCTGGTTTTTCTTAGTTTCTCACTTTTTCTTTGTACAGAAGTAATGAGTTAACCCTTTGTCTTTTTTGCTTTCTTCTTTCAAACGTTCCATGTTTGGGAAACTCTGCAGTTCATTTATCCTGAAAATTTAATGTATCTATACCTAAGAAGATCTTGATTTTCTCAGTTCATACCTGAACTATTCATGCTGAACAACTTGCTCATTTTCCTTCTTATCACAGAAAGTGCACGTCCAAGGTGCCCACACTCACTGGTCCCTGGGCATTTTTTCCCAGCCTTTCCCATATTCAATCGCCCTTTGATTGGAGGTATTGACAAATATTTGTTTGGGATATTTGGGGCACTTTCTGAGACTATAAACTATTTGAATGTCCCTCCAATCTACTGCAGGGCCTGAGTGAAAGATCTAGGTCATTTACTCCCACCCAGAACCAAAATTCCAAAGAAAAATTATGTAAAACCATAACCCATTATTTCAAGTGACATCCATTTTATATAATAAAGCTATCAACATACACTCCAGGATAGTTTGCCAAACTCACCATGATCATAAACACAGCCCTGTGTTTTTTTTTAAATTTTGTGCTTTCTCTGTTACCCTGAAGAGACAAGGAATACTGGACTTGAGCCCACTTTGGAAGACCACTGTGAATAAAAGCGAATCCAGCTATCAGTCACAGTTTTCATTTCATAAAAGTCTTACTGTGAGCAAAGGGATCTTCCTGAATCCTTGCTGACATGAAGATTACACAAATGCTACCAATAGCAAAATCAAGACCACCTCAGTACTTGGAAACCAACCCTACTTTTTAATGGGGAGGAAGTCTTAAACCTTATTTAGGAAACCACACATACTGAGAATTCATGAGTTGTGACTTTCTGTTACAGTGATCCCCATTATCTATGGAATATTTGTTTTAAGACTCCTGATGATACTTGAAACCAGGAATAGTATCAAACTCTAAGTGTATTAGATTTTTTCCTGTATACTCATTGTTGAAAACATTTAATTTATAAATAAGGCACAATAAGATTTTAACAACAGGAGCTAGCAATACCATAGAACAATTATAACAGTACTTTCTCACATTAAAGGGCAGACTTTGTAGTTTTTCTATGGTATATTTAAACCAATAGAATCACTACTCTTGGTATTTGGAGTCAATATAAAATCAAATAAGGGCAACATGAACATATGTACTTTGACACGGTGATAGTTGACTTAATAACCTAGATGGACAAATGGCTAAAAGGGTGGGTAGTGTATATAGCATGGATACACTGGAAGAGTGGATGGTTGAATTCTGTCTTTGTCCATTTCTCTCTGCATGTCCCTGTCCTCAGTTTCCAAGTGTAAAGAGGCAAAAAAAAAATTACTCCCATGATATAAAGTTGTACTAAAGATTACATTAGAACATTAAGTACTTAATCAATGTCTAACCCACATTAAGTAGGGTATGGTTCAGTTTTCATTTTAACTATGTGTGTTTATATACATGTGCACTGTTATTTTCCTATGTCCTTCCAGGCTTCTTAGCATACAATTATGCAATTGAGATAATTGTATTATGTTTTAAGATTACTTTACCTTGAAAGTAGATGATTACTCAAATACACAGCGGAAGTTTTCAAGTCCTAAAGCTCTATTTTGTTGTTGTGCAGTTTCTGTGCCTCTGTTTGCAGAAACAAGTCATGGGTAGGATGGGGATCACTTAGTCTCTCTGCTTCATGTCGTCCAACAGGAAGTTCACATCCTGGGCTACCTGGTAGAGTGTTCCACCTGTCTCCCCATCGCAGAGCTGTGAGACTATATACAGAGATAACCTTAGCTGTCTCAGAACATGGGGTTTGGTTAGGACCTAAACTGTCTTGTGACATTACATAAATCCTTGAGCTTCTATAATGGGTCACCAGGGAGTAGATTAAATGATTTTTCTACTATTCATAAAGAAACATAAATACAAAGCCCATCAAACTGATGGCCTGGGGAAATCTAACGAATTTGGGTCTGGACAGGTCTCTTGCAGGCACAGACAGTCCCTGTAAGGTGAATGCTTCTACCTTTATCCCTGAACACTCTTAATAACACCTAAGTTCAACAAACTATCTTCAATAATACCTTTGCAACATAACAAAGCACTTTATTTAAAAAATTCTTTTTATGAACACGATGCATTCCAGTTATGCAGTCTCCTAGTGCAGAAAGAGTCTACAATCACATTTTATGTTTCTGGTTAATGTTGCTGGTTATGTTTATGTTTCTAGAGGAAGAAGGATGGTGAAATGATCATAGAAAATACCATTTCAGTGGACAAGCTTCTCTTTTTGGAGGGAAAGCCTAAGGAGAGCTGATTTAACCTTTACCAACAATGAAACTGGGTTAACAAGCTGAGATGCTCTATGCTTGTCAGAATGTTTTTAAGCCATGGATTCAGTTCACTGCAAAATCTTAACTCAAAGAAGTTAGTCTTTAGGAGCAATACCATAAGATAAAGATGTTTACCATGAAATAGGAATTACAGTCCATGAAATAAAACTTAACAAAGCCTCTGGCTTTATGGATTAGGACCATTAGAATTTTATATAGCAATCAAGCTGTTTAAACAGTTTTGTGTTTTTTCTTAAATGAAAAGCTTTAATTTTTCAAAGATAAATCTGGGTTTCCTATGGCTTTTGAAAAACATTAAGATTCATAATAAATAAATTAATTAATAGTTTCCCTTGATTGTTTGGTTTAGTCAATTCAATTGTGTATTTTTATTTATTTTCTTCCCACTTTAGTAGAAAAGAAACTGAAAGACCACTTGTGGTGGTGGTTGTTAATTTGATATCTGTTTCCTCATATTTGTTGAAGTTAAAATTATATTTTATACATGCTATATTAAAGAGGAAGTCTTTTTGAAGGTCCAAGTTCTGAGGCTTCTTTTGATGATCATTAATATTTAAAACAATCCTTTCAAACTCCTCTGAAATATTTTTCTATGTCTGAGTCATCAAAAAGGAAAGTTTCTATGTGCTTCAAAGTAAAATATTTTAGCCTCCTGTTTTCCTCACCTGAAAGAATTCATCAACTTGCTTCTCAGTGGAATTATTTTGTCTTCTGTTTCTCACCCTAAGTTCTTGGTTATTTCTTACAGAAGCTGCTAAGATTTTTCATTCAAACAATTTCTCTGAGTATTTTCTCAATTCTGCATCATTTTCTGCTACTGTGGGAATTTAAGTTGGAAACTGTTGATGTATTAAATGCAGGTTACTCTAATCAAACAAGAAAACCTATACATAATGAAATGCACTACCTTTTAAAACTTAAGGTGATAAACTCTCATTAAAATGTGTTTAGCAAAATGCATCACCTCACGAGGCTCTCCTGTTTTTTACATAACAGCAATGTACATGTTTTCAATGCTAAAAATTGAGAGAGTCTAAAACATATCTTACAACATTTTAGGTTGCACATTTTCTAGGCAGTGTTATTTCTGTTTAAAAAATAAACTTTACTTTGTATTTTCTTTAACAAATTGTACTAATTTCATCCAATACATGGGTAGTTATTCACTAATAATTCTTTATCGACTATATGGCCTAAAGATCATGGTACTGTTGATGAGGTGAACATTAGTTTTAGTTTTAAGATTAATCTTTTATTCTTTAAAATGAAAATAATCACACTTACACTTGCACTTTTTTAAATTTCCAAACAAATACTTTTGCTTCAAAAGGAAGACCAGGGCTGGGGATTTCACTCAGCAGCATAAGTGCCTGCCTGGCAAATGTGAAGTTGTGAGTTCGATCCCAGGTAAAAAAAGAAAGAAAAAAGTAAGATAAAGAAAGCCATTTTTTTCTGAATAGTTTGCTCATCTTATTCTTTCAGGTTTCCACTGTGCTTTTATAATAGCTTTCTGGATGCATAATTGAACATGTTATGTATATTACATACTTAAAATACATAGTTTGACAGGCTTTAAGAGGTGTAATATGCATGAAACCAGCACCATAATTAACATAATGGGTATGTGTCTAACATTGCAAAAAGTTTCCTAGTATTTCTTCTAGTTCTAATCCTTTTCTTTCATTTATTTTAAAATTCTGTTAAGCACATTAGATACATTTAGGATTGCTATGTTTCTTTGACGAATCTATCTTTTTATTACTATAATCTTTATCCCTAGTAATATTTGCTCAGGAAACCAGTTAGTTGTTAATACAGATATTGGATTTATTTTGATCAGCAAGTCTTTTGGGATGTTAGCATGGTGAAGTTATTTTGCCTTTTTGCTTTCAATTCATTTATACATTATTTAACATGCTTTTTACAGATATGATGTTATTGTGTCTAGCTTTTCCTCTGTCACAACCTTTGAATTTGAATTGAGGTACACCAGCCATTTATATTTACTATGATTATTGATATAGCCAGGATTAAATATTTAACTTGATCTTATTTTTGTCTTCTAGTTTGACCTTTATTTGTAAGTTTATAGACTTTTTTATTTTAAAGAGAGAAAGGTAACCAAAACTAAAAACAGTAATATAAAGTTTCAAAACAGGATAATAAATTTACTACTGTTAGTATACTGCATATTGTTGTCTTCAAATTATTTGCTAAGATTGCAAGATATAGACATGCAAAAATTTTGTTACCTGTTTGATGCATCTGTTCTTTTTCCCCCTTCTTTTTCTATTTTCTCCTTAAATTGGCTATATTTTATAATTCAACGTTATCTTCTTTGGTAATGTGTGAAAGAGGATATTTTAAGGAAACAAAGTTTTGTCTGTGTGCAGTAGTGGGAGATATTCTGAGAAAAACAAGATTGTTATGGTGCCGGGGTCCTAGTCCAATGACAAAAATAAATGTTTCACTTAACAACTAGCAGTAAACCCCACCTACCACCTGCTTATTGTGGTTGAATGGTTGTGGTCACGGTTTGTGTCTTTATTTTTCCACTTCTTTTTGCACCTGTACAACTTGAATTCTGTGCTAGTTCCCCATCACTTCGATTAACATAAATTTAGGAGTCTTTTTTTTAACTCCTTGGAGTAATTTTATCTTTTCAATTTTTATTAGTATGTATTCATCGTACATAACGATTACACTCCTCATGAGGCGTTGGTACATGCCCGCAACACATCTCTTGTTCATTCCCTTCCCTACTCCCATTCTCCTTGCCTCATCTCTTCATCCCTTTCCCATTTGCAGAAGATTTATTTATCTCTCTATTTCCAATTATATTGGCAGAAACCAGATTTAGGAGTCTTGGGAACGTGGGGATCTATCTCTTAGGGCAGTCCTAACAAATTGCCACAAATCAGGTCAACCACTACAGAAATTTACTCTCTTGTAGTTCTGAAGACCAGAAATCAGAAAGCAAGATGTGGGCTCCCCCGGAAGCTCTGAGAAAGTATCTGTCCAGTATCTCTGTAGTAGTTTCTCCTGGTCACCAGAATCCTTGGTGTTATTTGACTATAGAACCTCAGTTCAATTTCTATCTTTGTCCTTGTAGGGTTGTGCTCTCTCTAAATTTTATTGGGTTAGAGCCCAAGTAGACTGAAGAAAAGTCATTGGTTTAGAGCTTATGCTAATCGAACATAAGTTCATTTTGATTTTATCTGTGAAGATCATATTTTCAAATAAATTCGTATGCTGGTTATAGGATTTCAACATGTCTTCACAATTCCATTTATAGCAGTACAGAGGACATAAATAAGTATATATTGAATTATACTGAGCTGACTATAGGTTATTTCTTTTATCTGGATTTTATGTCTGTACTATCACTACAAAACAAATTCCTACAAATTTATTATTTCGCAATTTCTATGGTTCAGGAGTCCAGTTATAGTTTAGCTGGGTCTTCTGATTGAAGGCTTACAGAGCTATAATAATCGGGCCAAATTCTCATTAGGAAGCTTGTCGGGGAAGATTCTACTCTCATACTTTGAAGCTCATTCAAGTTTGTGACACAATTAATCTCTTTGAGGTTTTAGGACTGAGGATCCAGTTCTTCCTGCCCATCAGCTGGAACCCATCTTGGCTTTTAGAAGCTGCTCTGAGCATTCCTAGAAGCCATGGACAGGTCCTCACCATGTGGATTTCCTTAAAGTAGCCCCTTGCTTGCTTCATCAGGTTAGCAAGGTTAAATCTCACATTAGTAACACATTCTTAGCCATTGTGTAATACGACCTTTGCCATATTCTATTGGCTAGAAGAAGGTGTTGTCTACACTCAAGAGCAAGAGATGTGTATACCCAGAGGTAGGGCTGGGGAGGACTAGCTTAATGTCTGTCTGCCACGTGCTTTCTCACTTGGGGAAGACAGGATTAAAGTAAATACTAATGTAGCTTAGGTGCTCTCAAGTTTACTGATCCCTTCAACTCTAGCATCGATGTATCTAAGGGAATTCAGTCTCAAAGTTCCTGGAAACCTCACCCCATTATGTCCCCCATACAAAATGCAGTCACAAAGCCATTCAGTAATATTATTTATCCTTTTGCCATAAAAACCTAGATCCATCCTCCTTTGCTGAGTTTGTTAGCCATTCACAGACAGCATTATTTATCCAACCCAAAAAGATTTGTGAAAGTGAAGAAAAGGCCCTCATTTTTTTCATAAGTAGAATGGCTTGAATTTCTAATGCTTTGTGTCTGATTTCTCTTTTGTGTGTTCTCCTAAAAAGTAAAAACGATTTCTTTGCTGACCTGAAATTATCTTCAAAGTCTCTGCTTTTGAAAAGGTGAATTATATAGAACTGTGCCTTTTTTTAATTTAACTTGCTGGCTTCTAAGGGAGATCATCATCAGATTGTGTTTCTGTGGGCTGCTCTGATCAGAATCAATGTCCACATTGCTCTTCCCTGGAAAAATTTACTGCAGGATCCTGTTCTCATGTGTCACACTTTGGTTATTCCATCCCCTTTATTTTTCCATTCTCCTCTTTTCTCCAAGCTGCTCTTGAGATACAACCAAACACCTGACACACTTGAGTTATTTAAATAAAAACAGCAGCAATCACACACACACACCCCTCACAGAGTCTTCTGTCTTTGTCTTCTCTGACATCCCTCCTGGCACATCAGTTTATATACTGTTCCAGTACCAATGCTTCTAAACATATACCATTTCCTACAGATTTCATTTAGGATTTAAAGCTGATGTACACCAGGACAGAAGAGCTCTACACTTACACAACCCACCAATTTCTTGCTGAGATGCTACTTTGGTCCTCATCCATGTATATGCGTGACCTCCCTACCCCTACCCTTCCACCTTCCCATGAATTTAGTTTTTCTAACTCCTAGGCTAAGCTGCCAAAGCTGTAGGTAGCTTGGCCAGTAGGCAGGTGACCATCTTCCTCTCCCTGCTTAGTCTGCACTGTAACCCTTATCTGCCTTCTATATTGCTTTTGGCTCTCGGATGAGATTACAACCATTCTCAAACCTGGGATAGAATAATCCAGAGCTAGATCAAGCAAAGAAATTCTGATTGGAACTCATCTCTGATGAAATTCTTCTTTGAATCTCTAGCCCATCTGCCTAGTGCAAAATTATTGGAATTAGCTTCATAATATAAACGATCAGGACTATTGGGGTGTGCAATGATGTAGGAAGGGCAGATGGCCCCATTCTACCAAAGAGCAAGTTTTCTCAGTAAGTGTACTAATGAATTATTGTTTGGGGTCATTTCAAAGCACTAGGGTTTGTGTTATTATAACAGAATACTTGAGACTAAATAGTTTCTACTTTCAAAAAACATTTTATTTACCTTACAGTTTTAGAGACTAAAGGTCCAAGGACTGCAGCCTCAGTTATGTGGTGAGGGTCTTCTGGGTACCTTGTATCATGGCTCTTAGCAGAGTGCCAAATGGCATGAGTGGGAAAGGTTTCATGATGAGAGAGGAAGCAAGAGAGAAAGAAAGAACTGAAGAAGGTAAACTTACTTTACAACAAACTGCCTTGCCACAACCTGTCCAGTACTGTGAGAGCAAGAATTGACTTCCTCAGTAAAAGCATTAAGCCTCCTTAATGACCTATTAAAGGCCCCACTTCCCAATGTTTCCACATTGGGATCAAGTTTCAACATGACTTTTAGGTGGGACAAACCACATGTAAATCATGGGAAGTGTCCAGCAGAGCTACATCTGCACCACGCAGGGCTGGACATAAACCGGCTCACCTGCCTCTTAGGCTTTGGCCACACCCAGAGAAGACACATTTATTAGCCAGAAGATTTCGAAATATTGGACCTCCGTTTCCCCCGAGGTTCCTCCTTCCAGAAGCTACTGCCAGTGCATGAAATCTGGGACTGGCCATGAAATAGGTTCATGCTCTACATGTTGGAGTCCAGAGATTCAAAAAAAGATAAAACTACAAAAGAAGCTAGGAAAGAAAATGATCAAGATCACTGGGATCTCAAGATACGGTTTTCCCTTGTAGCTGCATGGCTAGTGTTATTGTACCAGATACACAAATACCCAGAAATAACCTGAGTTCTCTAAAGATTAAAAAATTGAATCGTAGCACTCTGTATTTATTCTGCTTTCATTTGTAAAATGGGATAGCGAAGGCATCAGACTTACAGAACTGTAAAAGTTCAGTGAAAGTATGTGCTTCAGGTTTTTAAATGATGCACAACAGAACATAGATACTGGGTAAGTTTTTGCCACTGTTGGTAGTATCAGTTAGGCCTTCTAAGCCACCGACCTCTAGAGAGGCTGACCACCAACACAGCCTTTCTTGTGGGTCCTGGTTTTCATTCTGTCTCTGCTCCAGGGCCAAGCCTTGTGCAGGAACTGGCAAACTCGTTTAGCTCTCCACTTGCCATGTTGGGGCAGAGTGGATCTGTCTGCAGGGTCTGCAGAATTGTGTGAATCATAACAAACTTCCCAGTGCAACTTGACCCAGACCCCTCACTATACTTCATGTGAACCTTTCCTTTACCTCAGAAAGACCTTCATGGGAAATGTGGTTTTAAAAGTGTTGGAGGAATGTGTCAGCAGGGACCTCTTTGGTTACAGAACCCAAGTGAGGTAAGCAGGGCAGGAAATACATCCGTTACACAGCACTGGGGCTGCCCCAGTGGGTACACGGCTCTGCAGCCCCCAGAGAAACCTTCATTCACCCGTGTTCTATGTCACAGCCATCTGCCTTGATAAATCCTGCACCTATTTCTACTTAAAAGCAGCGGTATCGAGGGATGCTTGCTTCACTCACTCCTGTTGAGGATAGAAATGAAAGGACTTGCCTTCATTTGAAAGCAATTAAGAAAAGTGATTTTTTTAAAATCACGTTCTTGGTGACACATGCAGTTTCAGTGGGCTGAGCTGTAGCCTCAAAACAAGAATGGATCACGGGTTTCTATCACAGTTCTTTTAGCCTATTTAGACTAAAGATAATGATGGCTATCATCCTGACCCTTTTATTTGCATCTCAGCTGTACAATTTAAAAATAAAAAGAATGGAGGAGTGCACTGACCTCCCTTCAACCAGCCAGGGAAAGTTACAGTGAGAGGCCAACAGGGACCTTCTGTGGCACAGCAGGGCATGTTTTCTGTCTGAGATCCTCAGAGGAAAGATAATATTCAATCAGATCTGTGGAGGAGGGGTCAGGGGGTTGCCAAGAGACCCGAGGAGGGAGCCCCCCCCCCACTCCGTAGTGCTCTGAGATTTCAACTTTCGTTCTAGACCTGGGAGACACACCATTTCCTCTTTCTTTGCCTTCAGGCATGGATTGATGCAGTCCAAAGGAATGTGAAAAGGAAATAAAATGATATTAAAGGATTTGGCAAATCACTGGTGCGCACGCGTTCGTGTGTG